CCTTGCACTTGCCAAGGCAGGCACAGTACCAATGAGATAAATCCCCAGTCCTAAAATAGTTTTTTTTCAATGAACACAGAAGTTATTTGTCTGTTAAAAAAAAAAAAAGTTAAATTCTAACAATATTAAAAATGGTACATCTCATCCTAATTTCTAGAATATCACACATTGATATAACACTACAAATTTTAATCAACAAAATCAATCTTTATATACTTTTAATAAATTTGCTAAGACATACTGTATAAGTATCTTAAGTTATTTACAAAAATGGCTGTACATATATTTAAGTCCTCTGGTCAAATATCCCCAAACGATGCCTGGCTTCCCAAAAGTTAATGTTATAAAACTTCAAATTTGTGTAAGAGTGTAATACTCCCTCCACTCAAAGGAAATAAACTAGAAAAAAAAGCCTTGGACAGAAACAAAAAAAAAAGAAACACCAAAGACCCTAGTAACAACAGTTCATCTTTTTAAAGTATACATGGATACCTAAAATCCATAAGGACTTTGGTTTTGGGATCCCTACTGACATCCAAATGTAAAGACTCACAAGTCCCTTACGTAAAATTGCAAACTATTTGCATAAAAACAAAGCACATCCTCCTATCTACATTAAATCACTTCTAGAATTGTAATGTTTATGGAGAAACAATGACAAGAACAAAAGGTCTTTAAAAGTCAGAGCACAGGCTCTTCACATCCTAAATATTTTGAACCTGCAGATGCAGGTATGTGTGTGGAATCCCTAGATATGAAGGCCTGACTGCCATATTTAAGATGAAAGATTTCCTGTCAAAGGCTTTGCCAGTTAACAAGCTGCTGTGACTGACTTAGCTCTACTACACCCAAGGGAAGAGAGTGTCTTCCGCTTCTAATGAGTTCTTAATCACATTTTGGGATTCTATAAAATTTCCAATATATAAAATTCAAATATTTACTCTTAGGCAAATGTTAACATGCCTTTTTAATCCTTTGTTTTTCTTCTTCAGACATTTTGAGTTTCATCTCCAGATCTGAAACTTTTTGCTGAAGCTGGATGTTTGATACATTGCCTGCAGGATCCTCAGAATCATCCACAAGAGCAACTGTCCCATCACTTGTTTCATCCGATAAACCCAAAGGAAAAAGCAGGATATCTAGATGAGTGCCTGTTGACTGCTGAACCTAAACGACATTTAAAAACAAACATACACATGCACATAAGAGAGAGAAGAAAGTTCATACTATCTCAACATGAAAATGGCCAAAAGGTGTATCACAAACCACATTTGAAAATTAAGTTGTAGCAAAGGCTCCAAATTTTTTTCCCTTTTTACACAAATCAACACAAGAGGGTTACAATAACTGATTTTTGCAGTAAGAAACAAAATTTCCTCTCAACTTTAAGTCTAGCCTTAGTATTTATATTTCCAGCAATATACTAACTTAAAACATTTTTCTTATGCTTAAAAATGTACAATGAAGCATAGACACATTTGATACCAGTTCACATTTGATACAGGCATGCCTCAAATCTGTTTAAATTTTAACTTGTAAATAAGAATTTAAAATTTACCAACAACCTCTAGATGATCATTACCTTCTAGAAAAATTAACAAGTTACTTAAATTATGTATAACACTTTACAAATCCAGCTTTGGAAATCCAACTTGACACAGTTCCTCGTTCAAAAAATATCTGAATACACTCTATGAATGCTCTCTTTTTTGGTTTCGGCCTAACATTCAAATAGATACTCTAATACCTGCAACATATTAATATTTCCCCAAAAGAAAAGTAATTGCTCTTTAGAATAATTATTTCCTGTTTTAAATTTCAAGATTTGAAATGCAAAGCTAGGTCAGTTTTAACAAATGAATTAAACGATATTTTGGTAACTAAGGCTAAGTGAGTACTTTGCCACAAAACAAACACTGTCCAATTTTTTTCATTCTAAGCCTGAGTGTCCATTTTAAAATATCTATTATAGGGCCAGGGAGTTAGCTCAGTGGTGCCACCGCCTGCCTCGCAAGTGCAAGGTCCTGAGATCAATCCCCCTGCCCCGTACCAAAACAAACAAACAAAAAATCTTTTGCAGAAATACTTTCTTCAGAATAACCTTATAAAGAAATTATATTAACATCAATTAAATTTCTATGCAATTTCCTATGAATACAAACTTCCTATGCAAACACCCTCGCTTTACCTGTGCTTTCGGAGCAGCATGGCTCACAATACCGTTGTCGGTATGCACGTTCTCTGGGGAGGAGACAATGGCATCAGGAGGAAGGCATCCCACTGCAGGAGATGAGTGGTCATGGTCCAAAGCAAGCTCAGGAGAAGCTGGTGAAAGATGGACTCCGGATACTAAAAGACAACACGGAGGACAGACTATTAAGGAAAACAGAGAGGATGGGTGAATGGAAGAAAGCAGACACAAAGGGAAAGGGATGAAGTAAAACCAGTGAGATTGAAAATTGGGATTTTGTGACTATGGCTCAAAGTTAGATATATAAAATCTAAAACTAGTATTTCTAGGTTTAACATTTCACACCCAGACAAGCAAAGCAATTTTGTAATGTCTTAGTGTTTATACACTAAAATGCTGCTATAAAATGTGCATTCAAACTCAGACAAAAGTCACATCTATGATAAATTAATTCATTTATTCCAGAAACACTTATTTAATTAAAAAGAAAAACAGAGCACCAAAGAGCCTATTAGAGACAGGCACGGGTACAAGACCCTTGGGGGGAAACTGAAGAACAAGAAAGATCACTCCTGCACTAGGTGAACTCATAAGCCAGCAGGGAAATCAGCCAAGCAAACACTGGGCACAGTGTGTAAGAAGGAGGAATAAATCTTATTTCTCTGTATTAATTTTTTGGTAACAAATAATTTTCCAGGTTAAAACAGTCAATGGCTGGATTGTTTCTACAGAAAAAATATAGAAATACAATTCTGCAATTAAATTCAAATGAAAGGTCATAAAAGTAAAGCTGACTGCCAACTATAAGAAAAGAAGACGGGGCCAGGGATTTAGCTCAGTGGTTACACCATCGGCCTTGCAAGCGCTAGGTCCCGAGTTCAATTCCTGGTACCAAAAATAAAACAAAGCAAAACAAGGAAAGAATATATATAAAAAGTCAATTTCAGCAGGGTACACTTATATTCATTTATTTGTAAATACTCCTCTAAGTATTCAAATAAATTTGTAATATGTGTGTTAAAATTTTAAAAGACGTGGTGGACAGCACATTCTGGTAATCCCACCACTATAAAAGTCTGAAGCAGGAGAGTTGCAAGATCAAGCCCAGCCTGGGAAATGTAGCAACTTCAAAAATCCTGTCTCAAAAAAAAAAAAAGATAGATAAATGGATGGATGAATGATGGATAGAGTGAGAGACAAGAGTGAAAAAGAGCACAGGGATGTAGCTCAGTACAAGCATCCTGCTTGTGTCCAATCTTCAGTAACCTCCCACCCTTAAAAAATTAAGAGTTAATGAGTAATTTTTAGCAGTAATTCATTTATACTTTTTTTTACTTTCTGAATTTTAAAGACCTTTATTCCACATTGGCATCAGTGGCACTGTCAGTGAGGCTGTACCATAAAATTCTGTGGAGGTAGCTCACAACGGAAATTGCATTTTTCCCTGAGGAAAGACATTTAAAAGGCCGTTAAGTATTAATAAAGTAAATAATATATTCATTTCTCACTGGTACTTTATATTATTTTTATGTATCTTATGTATGCTTTTATTACACAGAAATACTGTAATTTTGAAATATTATGTACCATACTAGATAATTAAGATGTTATAGCTTCACAAAAAAGACACATTTAGCTCAAATATACAAAACTAGAATTTTAATTCATGTTTATACTTGGTATGTTTTTCAGAAATCTTTCAAAGTTTTTCAGAAATTATTTTTTCTAGTTTTCACTATTATATATGGTGAGAGAAAGTTCCCCAAAATGTCAAGATTTTCCAAATGGCTTATACTATGGAGTATAATAAAAATATCTCTAGTGAGTTTTCAAACCTATGAAAATCAGTGCAATATAAATACAATGACAAGGAGAGCATCCTATCACATTTTCCCTTCATTGCCAAATTTCTTGAATAGTTTATACCTTCCTTCTCCACTTTCTTCTTAATCTAATTCTTTTCCCTGCACTGGCCCTGTTCTTACATTAAGTCTCATGAAGACTACCGTTCCTCTTTAGTTCTCCAAGGCATGTGGTAATTGCTCTCAACATTCCTTGAAAACCTTTCCTTGGTTCTTCTTATACCATGATCACCTGGCTTTCTTCTTAACATTTGGACTATGTTACCCTTATTTCCTTCCTGCCTTTTTCCACTAAAACACAAATTTACTATTTCCTGTATCTTCTGAACTTATCGTCCACAGTATTCTAGGCTATCATTTTCAAGCCCTTATTATTCACTTATCACCCGCACACTAGTGACACTTGAATGTATGTCTCTAGTGCCAACTGTTCTGCAGACTTCCACATCCATGTGCTTACCTGATTTCCAGACAGATCCATACAGATGTCCAACAGGTACATGAAACTTAACTATCATTTCACATAAACCAAGTTGGCTCCATGCTTTCCTTCTCAGTTAACTGTACCTGAAACAACTGTATGGGCACAAGCCAGAAATGCTCCACTGTGCCAACCTCACTCCAGCTGCCTGTGTAACTAGCATTACCTCACAATATGATTGCCTCTGTGACCTCACAATATGATTGCCTAAGAAATTCCATAGGCCCTAGAGTCAGAAATAGATTCAAATTTGAACAATACAACTCCCTGCTTATGCAGACAAGCAAATCATATTTAAAAATCTAAACTTTAGTTCATCTTCTAAAAATGGGGAAAGAATAAGTATCTCAAAGTAGTATTATGTAGCTTAAATGAGGAAATGCAGATAAACAACTTAGCTCAGTGACAACTACATAGTAAATATTCGGTAAATGCAAGTTGTCACTGAAGTTATCATTCTGCAACATTTGAAACAAGCTTTCCCAGGAATCTATCTACTCCCATGATCAATCCAACAATATTGTAATTCTACTTTCTACTGTCTGTTAATATATTACAGAACGTCTATGAAATAATAAAACTACTACATATCAGAATCTATGGCAAACAAAGCAGTAGTTTAAAAAAACTATATTGTCAAACACATCAATAAAAAAAAAATCAATGAATTAAATTTCCAGCTCAGGGGGAGGGGAGGAGGGGTGAAGGGAGGGCAGGGACAAGGGGAAAAAATGAGAACCAAGACCTGTCATGTAAAGGTGCAAGATCCCAATAATGAATGTAACTGTACTGTATACCTAAAAAGTACCCAATAAACTCAATGAGGGAAATAAATAAATAAATACATATCCAGCTCAAACTAAGAATCAACAAAGAAAATTTAAAAGAGGAAATAATAAAGATAATGCAGACATTAAAGGCAGATTAATAAAAATCCTGTATTTTTTTAAAAAAAGGAGCTTATTTAAAACTAAAAGGAAATTTTACAAATATACAAAGTGAAATGTATAAATATACAAAGTTAAAAGTTACTGAAATAGAAGAAATTAAAAAGAAAACCATAAGATTCCTATTGGCTTTTCAGTAAGTAAATATTAAAATTAGAGAAATAAAAGTTTATATAAATTATTTTACTAGTGTATTAAAATGATCTTCTGAAAATAGATCTTTTTCTTTGGGGAAAAAACTAAGTTATTAGGCAAGTGCATTGCAAAGCATGTGATTATTTCCAGAAAATTTCTACCACAGATTCAAAACCCAGATAATCTCAGTGCTCTGAAACTAAAATCTGAGAGCACTATTAAGTAAGCAAAACCTTTATGAACATTAATGCAATACTGATAGCTAAACCTGATGATGACAATAAAAAAACAAAAAAATTGAGACTTTAAAGTATCACTTAAAAAAAAATAAAGTAAAAGTCCTAAATAAAGTATCCAGGGCCACATGGGGAAAAAAATATACACTGAACAAGTAGGATTTATCCCAAGGATCAAAAGCCAGTTCACTAGCAGATAATTGACAAGTATAATATAAAATTCCATCTAAATAGACTTACAGAGAAAAATTACCTATAAGACTCTAAAAATGACTAGGAAAAATGAACAAACACTTCTGTTTAAAAAGAAAAAAAAAACTCAAGAAAGCAAGTATCTTCTCACAATAATAAAACATGCAACATTACTTCTAAGTGTACATCTCAATTAATAGAAAATAAAGGTTTTTTTCATCCAAATAAGGAATAAGACAAGAACACCTACTATCTACAAAGCATTTAATATTAAACTAAAGGCATGAACCAAGCCAATCAAGTAAGAGCACAGTAATAAGAAAAGGGGCAGGAAAAGGGGCAGATGGGTAAGCCATGTGGAGCGAGGCTACTGCCCCACCCCCAGTGAACTGAGTCTCCAAGTAGGGCAGACCAATGAGGAATGCCAGAGACACGTGGAGCTAGGCTACAACCCACCCACAGAACCCGGGCCTCCAAGCAGTGCAGACCAGAGAGGAGTCAGGGACCCCACCACCACCACCCCTAGCCTCCTGGTTGTACCAATATCTGGATCCACACTGCAGAGGCACAGGGGGTCATAAAAGCCATTGTACTGAGCTCCAGAAGACAGAGCAGAAGTAAACAACAGAAAGAAGGCCTCTATCAGGAAAACTGAGGAAAATCTCCGCAATAAGGCAAACCAGACCACTGTGGTTGGTAAGTTGTAGGGATCATCACATCTGATTGGAATCTGGACTATCTTCAGGGGAAGAGCAGCTGGAACCTGCAGTAGAAACTTGCAGAGTTCAACCCTGCAGGAGGTCAGGGATCTCAACCTGCGCATTAAGCCAGAAATCAACCTGAATCTCAAGGGTCTGCTGCTGACCTGCTAGGACTGACTGACTTAGATCTGCACATTGATGCAAACGGTGTCTATTGTGACAGCACAGACATAAAAAGGGAGGCCATTTATTTTTATTTTTTATTTTTTAAATTATTTTTTTCTTTTCCTTATTTTTAATCTTTATTTTTCCCACTCTTTTCAAATACTTCCTTTATTCTTTATTCTTTTTTTTCTCTTTCCAACTAAATCTCTCACTCTCTCAAATTGCTCATTTCCCCTTTTGTTCTGTTTCTGCCCTAATTCAGATTTCTTCTTTCTCTCTTTCCTTCACTCTTTTTCCTTCTCTTGATTGTCATTAGTTTCAAAGGAAAGTGAGTACAGTTTCTATCTTCCCTATTGCTGTTAGGTCACTCTAGTCTTGTCTTTCTTCTTTCATTCTGTCTTTCCATCTTGTTTTCAACAGATTCCTAGAGTTTATGTGATGTTCCTGTGTCCTCTGGCCTCACTTCTAACCTTCACCTACACTTCTACCTATCTATCCCTCTCTTCCCAACTCCTTTCTAAGTCCCCATCCTGAAGGGTAAAGTTGCGATATTGAAGAGTTTATTCACATAGTTGTCCTCAATTTTGACTTAATTCACATGGTTAAAGGTGATAGATTAATGACTACGACAAATTGTCTTTTTCTAATCTGTGATTGCTGCTACTGTTTACTGAGTATATCACTTGAGCTAAGTTGTTATGATTGATCACATCAGTTGTCCTTCCTGGTACTATGAAAATGACAGTGTCTCTGAATCATGAGAGGCCAGCTATATCTTGAAGATCAAAGTATTAACCCAGGAATCAAACCAAGGAGAGCACCAACAACAAAAATAGAAATGAGAAGGCATTTAAGCAAGGCACAAACACAGACTTCCAGCTCACCAAAAACAAATTCTGGGGAAAACAAGGTAGAAAACACTGACATCAGCCACAAGGATGCCCTGAACACATAGCAAAGGAAATAACAAACAGATGAATGATGCTGTAGAAAAATTCAAAACAAAATAATTTCCCAGATAACTAAAGAGATGGTGAGCACAATGAAAGACATGATTAGAAACTCTAGAACAGAAAAAGATAAAAAAAAAAAAAATGACATCAGAACTATGATAGAAGCCATGAATGCCCAACATAAGAAAGAAATGGAAACCATGAAACAGATTCAGATATCCAAGAGATAAAAAACTATTGAAAGTATACACAGCAGACTGAGCCAATCTGAAGACAAAATATCAGATATGGAAGACAGGATGGCAGTCAGTAAATATGAAAAGAGAGATCTCTTAAAAATAGTAAGGGACCATGAGAAATCAATCCAACAGCTCCTAGATGATGCAAAGAAGAATAATATCAGACTGATAGGAGTCCATGAACAAGCAGGAAAAAGTACAAATGACATAAAAAAAAACTGCTCAGAGAATTAATGACAGAAAACTTCTGAAATAGAGCAAATGAACTAGACATACAAATAAGTGAGGCATACAGGACTCTAACTAGCCATAATAAAAAAAATCTATACCTAGACATAATAATCAAGATCCTAGAAACCCAACAGAAGAACAAAATACTACAAGCAGTTAGGGAAAAGAAACAAATCACATGCCAAAGCCCATCAGAATTACAGCAGACTTTTCAACATAATCCGTAAAGTCAAGGAGGACCTGGAGTAAGGCATTTCAAGCCCTAAAAGAAAACAACCTCCAACCTAGACTGACGTATCTTGCAAAATTATCTTTTAAAATTGATGGGGAAATAAGATACTTCCATGACAGCACCTGAGAAGCATCATGAATACCAAACCGGCAGTCCAAATAATTCTAAACGATATCCTAGAAAAAGACAATGAAGGTCACAACACCACGAGGCCCAACAGAGCAAACCTGGCAGGCAAGGCAAGGAATTAAAGGGAGAGAGGGAAAAATTAAATAGAGCCAGCAACAGGAAAATAACATGAAAATGAAAAGTCAATACATATAATTTATAACCATCAATGTTAATGGCCTCAATTCACCAATTAGAAGTAGACTGGCAGAATGGATTAAAAACCAAATTCCAACAATATACTGTATACAAGAAATGTACCTGGTTCAAAAAGAAATTCACAGAAAGTAAAAGGATGGAAAATGGTTCTCTATGCCACAGGAACTTGGAAAAAAGCAGGGGTGGCTATCTTATGCATAGAAAAAGTAAATTTCAAAGCAAAACTAATGAAGAGAGACAAAAAAGGTCACAAAATCCTTGTATAGAGAACAATCCAAGAGGAAGAGATGACAATAATAAATATGTATGTACCATATACTAACACCTCCAACTATACAAAATATTAAGGGACATGAAAAACCAAATAAGCACTAATACAATTGTAGTAGGGGACCTAAATACACCACTGTCACAAATAGACGGGTCATCTAGGCAAAAAACCAACAATGAAACACTAGAACTGAACCAAGCTTTTGAACAAATGGACTTAACAGATGTCTACAGTGTTCCACCCCACAAAATCAGAACATACATTCTTTTCGGCTGCACATGAGTCATTCTCCAAAATAGACCACATACTAGCTCATAGAACACATTTAAGTAAATGCAAAGGAGAGGAAATTATCCCATGTATACTATCACACCATAGTACAATTAAACTGGAGATCAGTACCAAGGGAAACCACAAGAATTCACAAACTCGTGGAAATTGAACAATACTCTCCTGAACAACCAGTGGGTCACAGAGGGAATTAAAGAAGAAATTAAGGCAGTTTTTACT